GCCTGTCCTGATCGGCTATTGCTAGGACTGGGGATTGTATCAAGCTCTGCTTGATACCCTCAAAGGAGCGCTGACATTCAGCGTTCCATAACCACCTCTCGTTCTTTTTCAACAAACGAGAGAGGTGCACAGTCATCTCGGCGTAATTGCGTGAATACTTATGCAAATACGCCGCTAGCCCAAGGAATTTTCGAAGACCTTTGACATCGACCGGCACAGGTCAGTCGGTGATCGCCTTGATCTTTTCGGGATCAGGACGTACACCGTTCTTACCAACGATGCACCCAAGAAGTGGTATTTCGCTTGCTGCAAATACACACTTCTTGAGGTTTGCATACAATTAATGCTTTCGCATGACTGTAAGAACTTGTCGGACGTGGTATCTGTGAACCTCATCATCCGACTTTCCATCCATAGCCCGACTATGGATGAATACGTCATCGGAATAACTCGGCGCGAATTCTCGTACTGGTCTCAACAGATGTGATACACATCTGTTGAACGTGGCAGGATCATTACTACGCCCTTGTGGCATTACTAGCCATTCCCAGAGCATGCCGCTAGGCGTGCTAACTGCGGTATAGGGTATATCCCGTTCTCGTATAAGGATTTGATAGAAGCCATCCATTAAATCCATGGACGAAAAGATGGTACCCTTTGACATACCATCAATGATTACGTCCTTCCTCGGTATCGGCGTCTGAGCCGGTACCGTTGCAGCATTCAACTTGTTGAACGCGTGCACTATCCGCCACCCTCCTGTTGCTTTTCGCACACAGAAGGTCGGAGAGCTATGTAGGGAAGTTGATTCCCTCACATGGCCCGCAGCTAAACGATCGGCAAAGAACTTGTCGATCGCAAGTACTGTGTCATGAAGCAGTGGCCACTGCCTCGTGACACAGTACTTCGAGCCTGGTTTAAGCTCGACCTCGTGTTGAATACCTTTATCCTTCGGTAATTCGCACGGAACAGTTTCAGGGAATACATCCTTGAATTCAACTAAATCTTCATAGAGAGGATTTTTCTTGAGCGATTCCCATGATTGGGAGTCATATCGCTCAATTCGTGTCTTTTCATCTAGGACACTCTCGTCCATAGATGAACTACTGAGAACTCTCTCGTTCTCAGTGAACACTGTTGCTGACCTTATGTCGGTTACACACTCGTCGTCAGCGACGAGTATGCAGATCTGCTTGACTTTGCCACTACGCAGATCACGCAAGAACCTTTTGTGGTCGAGCGTTGGCAACTGAGTGATCTCCGAAGTCAACTTCGGAGGCGCAATCATATCAAGTTTATAAGCGCCTAAACTTGATCCGTCCTTGACTAGGACATTTAATGTCTCTGTCATTTCCTGGGGACTTATTCCCTCAGGCCTCGAAGGACTTATTCCTTCGGCTTCCCGGGGACTTATTCCCGCGGGTTTCGGGAACATCTTTCCGCCGTATTTGTAATATTGGGACTTATTCCCTTTACTTCCTCTAGCTGGGGTTGCGCAACCACAGCGAGATCCTCTACGAAAGACTCTCCAGTCGATCTAGGATTATCGTTTCGCTTAACCTGAGCGATCGATTGTTTCTCTTCTAGATGTTCCCCGCTAGGGTTACATCTTTGTCCCGGTCCACTCGACTTATTCGAGTGGTGGACCTTCGGCGCAGCCTGTGTTTCCTCACAGCCGCCGGAACTTTGCTCCGAAGTGTAACCGTTTGTTACACTAAGGTTTTGTGCAGTCGTACTAACGACCGTACCACAAGTGAGGCCATCGCACTCACTCGTAGTACATCCACACGCTTGTGGACGCTCCAAAACGTTCATCAGATGGCCATCTGATGAACAAGCGGCAGGCATTGTTACTGTTCGATGTTGCCAGTTTACCCGTGGTTCGTACCTTCTGAGCCACGGTATTCCAAGGATGACATCAAATTTGTCATCCAAATCCAATACGATAAAGCCATCGTCGTATTGGGTATCTTCTAGCGTATAGTGGATCTTCACTATACGCTTCATGACGGTTACGGATGCGCCTGTCGCAAGACGTACCGTCATCCTCGTAGGAGGTGTGTCACATTCACTGAACTTAAAGTGACCATCTTCTAGTGATTGGCGTCGCACAAAATTGTTGGACGCCCCACAATCGACTAGAGCTCGAAGGGACAACTTATTCGTCACTTCGAGTTTCAAGGTAATGAGTGAGACCTCATTACCTAGAGCAGCAACGCACAATGTTTGTCTGTTGGGAGCAACTTTCATCAAGAGGCCTACAAATTCTCTTGACGTTGCTAGACCAGTAGGGTGCTCCGCACCTACTGATCCTGTCCGTTTTTTGACGGTCCATCCCGTTGTTGCGTCTTTGCACCAACTGCGGACCCTCGTCCCTGCCCCTTTCTCATGGGTGGACGGTCACTACGCCCAGTGTCGCGAGACATTGGACGAGGTGCACTACACTCGTAAGCGTAGTGTCCTGTCTTTTGACATCTGTTGCATCTCTGCAACTTCTTGTAGCCTGTAGAGCGAGCCTTCTCGCTCTCTACATAACAGAGTTCCATCGGCTCTGGACCTCCGTTGTCATATCGTCTCGGTTGACGATATGATGTCGAGCTGGCGCGAGCCTGTCTCAGACTGAAGTCTTCCTGTTCCGCAATGGAAATGGCTTGTTCTAGTGAATCTAGTTCAAGTCGGAACAGGTGAGTCTTGACAGGACCATCCGCAAGACCCTGCATGAACAACGAAACCAACGTGTGTTCATCCACCGTATTGGAACTTATACAACTCGTGAGATGTCGAATATGCTGCGCGTAAGCGTGCACATCACGCTTACCTTGTTCGAGCTTCAAGAGTTCGGTTCGAGCTCTGAACTCAGCTCTAGGCGGTTCAAACGTTCATCTGAGCCGCGACTTGAAGACTTCCAACGACCCAAACGCATATGGGTCGTGCAACTTGAGCCCCAGTGCCCAAGTCTTGGCACGTCCTGCCAGATTTGACTGGGCAAATGCAACTTGCATATCCCCGTCGTCGATGCGACGCGCCCTTATGGCGTCATCCAATTCGACGAACCATCTCAAGAGGGAGTCCTCTTCGACTCCCCTATACTTGGAGATGTCGATCTTCAAGGTTTCGGGTCAACGCGAGTGCATCGACCCGCCAGCAGCAGCCTGCTGCTGTCTCAACAGTTCAAACTGTTGAGCACCCTGTTCTCTCAACAACTCTGATTGTTGAGAACCTTGTTGGTGAAGCAAGGCTACTTTCTCGTGTTCAACGTCAAGTTCATTTTGAATGAACTTGGCGATAGTAGCATGTTGGGCATCTCTATTGAGAGCCTCTAGCATGACGCTAACAGCATGGATGCCCAAGGTTGAACCCATCCGTTCAACCGCATCCCATTCGACATCGCTCAAATGGGAGTAGCCGTCACGCGTAGCGTGAAAGCTTTGATCATCTTCATCATCCAACATATTCATGTTAGATGTTAACGTGGTCCTTGGACGGACTACGAAGTGCTACTAGGTGTAATGGGGCACCCTGAAGCTTGTACTGGTGACAGTACAAGCTACTTATTTTGATGACAGAATAAGGCGGTGCCTCGTAACTTCACGTACACTCGTACGTGCAGAGGAAGACGGTAAGAAGAAGCGAGTACTTAGTTAAAGTAAAAAGTAGAACTGTATTTATAATAGTTAATGTCTGCAATAAATCACTATTTATCTTCATCTAACTATGTCTAAATACAAATGTGTAAATCAACTATCTGCTCACCACTCATTGCGTGCGTCTGTCGTGGCGCGTCTTCGTTGGTTGATACAATGGCCTGTATCAACCAATTAGGAACTACTCGTAAGTGCTACAGAATATTTGTCCTTATGATAATATTCTGAGAATATAACTCTTATAGTTATATTCTATTAACAATTTCTTATAAATTGTTATGTAACGATTCACCCCGTTACAGTTGCTCTTCTCTAGTGAGCTTGATAATCTTAAAGTCCATCAACTTGGGTGCACCAACTGGACGGTTTGCTGCGGACGACGTCGTCGGTGAGGCAGTGTACATTGTCACATTGGAGTCGGTGTGCCTTGACGCTTGGGCTTGTGATCTCAGCTTGCGAACTTCTAATTGCAAGGTTGAAATGAGTTGCATTACATCCGTATGATCACATGGATTATTCGTGCAGCTTGCTCCGATGACGAAGGTGAAAGTCAATGTCCTCCGTTCCATCAAGGTCTGAAATGGTCCCGTGTCATCAAACTAGGCAGCGAGGTTTCTCGTTGGTGATATCTTAAGTTCACCATCTGGGCTCATAACCTTTTTTCTGGTTGACGACGTGTCCGCTATCTAGCTTTGTGCGCGCCGGAGTTCTCTGTCTCAGCAGTCGACTCTTTGCTGCTGGTTGTGCTAGTAATTGTGCACTTTGATGATAGTTGTGAGCTGAGAAACAAATTGACGTGTTTCCCACTACCACGGACCCGCATTGTTTCCTCTCTCATGATCTTGCGTCTTCCTATGGGCCTGGCATCATCATCGGCTACTGCAACAATAAATGTGGTTAGCAATTACCTGGCGTGATCAGTATCACGCAAAAGTTTGGCGACAGCAACGGTCGAGCTGCAACAAAGTTCCATCACACAGCACGAACAATTTGCTATCTTTCGTAATAATGTTCAAATACGAAGTGCAGGGAGCAAACACAAAGTTCGTTGACGAATTAATCAATCGACACAACGAGCATGCCACCGATCACGATCATTTCGCATTAAAACGAACACTCAGATTTTGTGCACACAGGAAACACGCCCACAACTTGTAGGCTCCTTGAAAAACAGTGATTAGTGCGAGCTAAGTGAAAAATCGATCGATACAAATCTCATTCTGAAATTTGTTTTAAGCTTCTGTAATAGCCCGGTTGCTGCAGCCACTTTGTACCAGCAGTGCAGCCGGCGTGACAAGGAGTCAATTGCATCAACCAGTGTGTAACTTGAATTTCAATCAAAAAGCATTTTATTATTCATTTATTTGCCATGGTACAGCGCGAACTTGACACGTTCCGATACAGTTGCTCCAAAGCAGCACGACAATGGGAGGCGAGCTGGGCATCACGATGTTTGGCATGCAAACGAAGAACACGCACGCAACGTTCATCATGGACACTGGAAGCAACAAGTATCGCGGGATCGACCTCCGACACCAATCTGGCAAATGCACCAAGTGCTCGTGCGCATTCTCGCAGCAACTCAATCGAAAAAAGTGACTGCTTGTTTGCGTGCTCGATCTCCGCTAGCACCACCGGTATGGCCTGAAGCCGAAGCTGCTGCGCCGTATGCTGTGCCAGTGCCAGTTCAGACTCTGGAAATCGTGGAACGGCGCGAGCGATGTTCGCCAGAGCGCCGACAGCACATCGCGACATGCCAGGGTCGGTAGCTTCGACCGCCTGGATCAATAGTACCACCAGCTCAGCATGAGCAACCAGACACGAATTCTGCACGTCCTCTGTCAGCTCTGCCAGTCCCGCACAGCCTTCACGCATTGCGTCCAGGCACCGAGATGTCAGCATGATCTTCATCGCTTCGACGCCCGAGCTAGGCGTCGGCTTCTTTAGTGACAGCGCTCGCCAAATCTGTGTCCCGTGGTCTACAGACTGTGATGACGTTGCGGTAATAATCGCCTTATCCTTGTGCTTCGGCCCAACAGCATGATCTCTCAACGCCGAAGAAACGCTATTCTTTGCCACGCGTTTTTGGCCGCTACTCTGAGAACACGGCAAGGCGGTGGTATCGACAATGAGGACCAGCTTCTGGTGAAGGATACGATACAGCCCATCCCAGAGCAACACGCTGCCGCTGCGGCGCTGGAATTCCACGAGAAGCGTGCGCTGGTGTGCGTAAACCCGAACAACGAATTCAACGTGGCTGTAGTGCACGTACTTGAGGCACTTGAACTTGCACTTTAGTGGGTGAAAAATTGCTTCAATACCACAAGCTGTAAACAATGCCGCAAGTAGCGACGTCACTTCAGCAGTAGCAGTACCCGCGCCAGTGTTCGTTGGCTTTGACTTGCAGTAGAAATGATACGGATCCACCGGATACGGTGGCGGAGGCAGCGACGGCGCGATTATATGGTGCAGCACCGACGGCAGTTCCTCACGTCGGCCTTCTTCCTCCTCTCGGCCGCCCACGACACTGTCCAGATCGTTATCTGCACCCTCAATTTCGTCATCACTACCGAGTCCAAAGTCATGTCGTCCCGTCTTCGGGTTCACCACATACGACGCAAAGCTGCTCGTGCTGCTCGTGCTTGCACAGCTGTTCCCGCTCGCAGTGCGGGCTCGTTTCAACCGTCGCCACTGTTCATAGGGCGTGCTCTTCTTACTGCCTTCTCCTTCACGCACGTCGTGCGTCTCGTTGGGACCGCTCTGGCTCCTGCCACAAGGCGAGCTGTCGTTTGAGTTTCCACTCACGGTAGCTTTCCTGTGGCTTCGGAACACGGGAATGTCCAGAGCTCCGTCATGTCGTGCCGTCGTCTTGTCACGCGCCCCCGACTCTCGCCTACAAAAAGCAAGTGTCGACGAGACTTTCCGTGTCGATTGGTGCAACAACAAAGACGAAGCAGAAGGCGCAGCCGCCGTCCTCGGCACGTCCACGGACCTGCGCGAGTCTGTCCCGTCTTCTCTCTGCTCTTGCATTGGACGTTGGTATTGCTGCTGCTGGTGATGGTGATGGTGATGGTAGTGGTGGTCCAGCTGTGCAATGGGCTGATGCGGGTACTGGCGACGTAACCGTCGAGCAGCGGCGCGACCATCAAGAGCAGCAGCAGCGGAATAGCTTCGAGCATCTGCAAGGACAGTCCCGCCGTCCGTATTGGAGTCACCGCGTCGGTTGCTGTGTGAGCGCTGCACAGTTGGAACCGTGCGACTTGTGGCAGAAGCGACGGAGGGCGGCGGCGGCGGTGGCGGCGTCTTGCGTGGCGTCCACTCGCCAGTTCTGGACTGGAACGTCATCGCTGTGGAGGGATCGGCGACTGGCTGGACCTGCTGGTTTCGAAATGGCGAAATGGACTGTTGCTGGCTCACTTGCCCCGGACGAGGCGAGTGCATACAAACTTCAAGTCAGTGGGGAGCTGCCCTGCGTGCGTGCACTTTCGATCGGGAACAGTCGAAGGTGTTGCGGAAAAAGGGCGGAACGTTCCGACGAGGAGGAGCTGTTTACGACACGGGACTTGCTGTTGAGGCCAATCTGCTTGTTCTGCTCATGTTGAGGTTGTTTCAAAAAAGATCGGCTGGTTATGCGGTGAATGTCAAAGATGTCAGACGACCAGGAGTGCTATATGTCAGAACTCAAGTGCCGTCGTCTGAGCTTGTGGTGGTGGTCCTGTAACACAAAAAGAGAGGGACGGGTTGTAAGGCGGGACTACGCCCACCAGTACGAAGCCAATGCGGGCGTGTATTTCAAGTGCGATGAGTACTTTCGCTGCCTGAGTAGCAGCAGTGTGGGGAGGCGTTGTCATGTCAACATCTACCCATAGTGACGACCGCAAGCGTGGCTGACAAATTGAATGTACGTGACACTGGAGCAGCGCGCGAAAGAGATACACCTCGCCATCGGCGATGGTGGGTCCGTAGTAGCCGCTTGCGCGAGGCGCGGAGATGCTAGCCAGCTGTCATAGCTCTTCCTTTTTAGCTGCTAGCACGACCTGCGGCTGCGCTAGTAGTATCCCAAGTCAAAGCTTTACCCTCTTCGGCTTCCGCTAGGGAGGACTTTCGTTAAAAGGGGCTGCTCCATGTGGAGCTATGGAAAGGATTGGCTTAGGTTGGACTGAAAATCGGGAATGTTTTCATTTCACACAAGCAGTGGCCCTGGAAAAGTATCTTGTCATTTGCATGAACGAGTCGCTGGAAAGTAGAAGCTAAGCTGAAGAGCCTGTTCTGGAGCGAGAGGGTAAAACACGATGCAAGCGGCGCTTCTTGGAATTTGAGTACGTCGGTTGACGGCCACTTAGTAACATTAAGCACTAGCACAAGCATCTTGGTTGTGATTCTTTAGACGAGGGTGAATTCGGCATTTTCCAATGAGGCCCCAGGACAACAGTGTCTAGCCTTGCGCAACAAGACATCGGTCAAAATACAACGCTTTCAAGCGTCAGCCAGCACACGACAAAGACACCAGAGCTGTCTGAAAATATCGATAATGCGATCACGATATGATTGTGACCCGACTCGAAAGCAGGCCCGAGATGCAACAGAGCTCGACAGTCAGCGTAGGTCGCAGTAGTCGTACGCACACTTCTATTTCCGTTGCGTAGGCAGCCATCTGTGATCCTTGCTGGCGTTTTTCTTGCGCTTCTTGGCCATAAACTTGGACAGTCTTCCGGTCTCCTGCAGGTCCTGGAACTTGGCTTGCAGCTCCAGCGTTTTTGTGTCCTTCCGCTACAGCCGTCAAACAGCAAGCACAACACACATCAGTCAGTCCACTTGGTCCGCACTTGTTGTCATCACCATCATACAACTCTTCTTTACCTTCAGGTAAAAGGCGCCCTTGCCGCTTGCTACAGCCTCGCGCTCCTCGCGCTTGCGTTTCGTCAGTGCACTCTGAATCTTGTCCCGTTTCTGTTTCTCAATCATTTCCTGTTGTCGCAAAGCGATCTCGTGCTACACGAATCGCCCACATCCAACGTCACAACGTCACTTACATCAGTACCCTCTCTACACACCATCAACCGATTCACGCTGCATGCACTGACTTTAAGCTCGTCCTTCTTGGCCACGCTTTTGGTCTTCTTGAGCTGCCGCTTAAGCTGCTGCAGCTCGTTTAGCTTGTACTCGTCCAAGAACGCATAGCTCTTGCTGAACAGATCTTCGTTCAGACGGCCACTCTGTGCCTCGAAGCGCGGATCGAGCGCGCGCTTCGTTTTGACCTCCACCACCTGCCGGAACCGTCCGACTGCCCGCTTCGACGAGAGCTCCAGCGGCTGATTCTTGTTGTCTCGATGCGCACGTTGTCGAATCACAGGCGCATGAGTCTCATCTTGCTTTCGCGTGGCAAAACCCTGCCGCTTCTGGCGTAGGCGCTCCTCTAGAGGCACGTCACGCGCGTCGCTTGGTAGCTCCATAAGCGCTGCGACTTCAGTGCCACTATTCGTTTCGTCGTGGGTGTGAAATCGATTGGTTGGGTGGACCACGTGTTTGTTTCAGCGTTTTAATGTTGAAATGCCTTCGAAACAAGGGTTTATTCAAAAAGGTGCTTTTACCAGGACGTTATGACTTCTCATAAGTGTAAATCGCAGAAATCAGCCAGCCCTCTCTCTCTTATGCCTTGTTGCTCTGTTCGTACACAGCAGCAATCTCCGAGTGCACCTGTTTGTAGTGTGCTCGAGAGCGGATGCCCGTGTGGTCCCCAGGCACCATTGCGACGTAACTTGGGACAGCGGAGCCGTCCTGCGCATTGCTTGTCGCGTCCCCCACGAGCTTCTGCAACGACCGACAAGCAGTATCAAGGTAGTACGTGTCCTCAACGCCGCAGATCACGTGGACTTTTCCACGAAGTTTCGTCAGTAACAAGTCGGGGCTCTTCTGAAGGAACTTGCACGCGTCGAACCGCTGCCAGTGCGTAGCTACGTCGTGGTTGATGTCACCAGACACCTTGTCATACAGAGGGACTGGCATGCCATCAGCTCCTCGTGGACCAAAGAGTGCAGCCTACAACATAGGACAAGGTCATCAGAGATATGTCACCCCAGTAAACCCCAACATCAACACCAGCGAAACGTACGAAGGTATCCCACTGACCGCCGTTGCCACGGCTGCGGACGCGCTCCACCAGATTTTCGTCCCGGATACTGGCCACGACGACTCCGTTCTTGCGGGTGGTTGGGTATGGATGGCCACTGACGTCCCAGTAAACATTCCGTGCTTCGTAAATGTTCACGACTTGAAAATGCGAAAAGTCGACTGGATCCGGGGCCGAACTCCATGTACCACCAAAGAATTCGGGGAATTGCAGTTGCAACCACAATGTCGCCCAAGCACCAGACGAGTGGCCATGCAGAAAACGACCGGACGCAGACGGAACCGCGGGGTACAGACTCTCGATGTATGGAATGAATTCCTTCACCAGAGCTGTTCCCCACGGACCATTGGTCTCCGTGTCAGCAAATGAAGTGTGGCCAAACTTGAAGCGCGAGCCGAGTGTGATGCGAAGCATGGGTGTCGGCCAACGTCCAGCTTGCCAGTCCTGCCCCATTTCGGACGACAGAAAGTCCTTGGCGCGTTTCGCGTATGATTCCGTCCCACCGTACCCTTCGATGTAGTACACTGTAGGAAACTGACGTGTTGCTTTCAGCGTCTTGTAGTCCTTTGGAAACACAATGGAAGCCATCATGTATACGTCTTGGTTGTGGTATTTGCTCAGGAGATCGCTTTTCATCGAGACGTGCTCTACCCACTCGGTTGGCGTCAAGTCCATCGTCTCGACAACGACCTGGTCTACCACGAGCTTGGTGGCATTCTCAGCCTTATCATCACCAAAGCGCACTTCCACCGGTTTGCTGTATGTGTTTCCCACGCACGAATTAGCATCTGGGTCATTCACGTCTACAAGCAGCCACGCGTTCAGCTAATAGATCAGCAATGACACGAAAATGTAAAGCATCCAGTCATTACCATGTTGAATCAGAGCTTGGACGAACAGCTTATCCGAAAAGACATTCATGTCCTGAGGCACGAACCCCAACGCTTCAGGCGTCGAGAACTCGATGCTCTCGAACACAATTGAGTCCCCAGGCTGCACATTTTCCTATCCAACACGTTCGTAACAGCATTGTGCAGTGTAAAGACCTCAAACCACAATAGCATTCTTCACCCCAGTGCAACGTACGACGTCCTTAGCGAACAGCGGCCGTGGGAATTCCAGATTAAACGCCCTGAAGCGCGGCTCGGGGGAAGGTCTAGGGGCAAAGAAAAGGATCACACGTCCGTCTTCAATAGGCTCCGAGCCGTTGTACACGACGCGGAAGACGTAATTCGACGTCAGCGAGCCCTACACACAGCCGCCGCATTAGACATAAGCACGATCTCACAGGATTGAAAAATGGACGACGCACTTCTGGGTACGAGAAATAGGTGCGACCAGCCCCGTGGCTGGAAAAGGCTGGGAAAATCGCCTCAAGTGCGCGATTCATCGGACTTTGTGAGACTTGTGCTGCTTTGTACGTGAATGACAAAATGACGATCTGCAGCGTCGGACACGAGTTCTGAGCTTCTGGCACAAGTTTAGAAGATCGCTCGACATGGTATCAGTTACGACTGGAATCAGTGCGCAGATGGACTATTTGGTAGTCCCTAATCACCCAGGCACGTCGCATGCGTGAACGACGTCAGGATTGTATGCGGGCGAATCGAACGAAAATTTAGGATCGATGTGCTGGATAGAAGCCAAGGTGCGCGCAAGTTCCTCGATCGTTTTTGTGCGACCATGTCACAGTAATTTGATACAAACCTTCTTGTCACGCACGTCTCAAGTCGAAAATGACGATCGCATGCGACCCCCACAACATCTTCGCAACGAGCATCAAGCGCGACGTTCCGTCGTACAAACTGTTTGAGACGGAGCATGTTGCTTTGTTGCTATTCTCGATGCCTTCCCGTGACTCCCGGTCATTTGTTGTTGCTGTCCAAGGCTGACGGCATTGCAACAACTGTCATGGGTAAATAATAGGAATGCTCAAGGAGTTAAAGGGTACACATGTTGTTTATTCACCTTGTTGTGGATACGGTCTCTTGTATCGCTAGATACGACGCCGGGTGTGGCAGCGAGTGTGTTCAAGGAGCCCCCACGTCTTGCCAAGGCCGTGCAGGAAGCCACGGTCTGTGACGGAGTAAACTTTGTACAAAACAATGGAACCGTCTCAGGCCGGGCAGTGTTCCACGCTCACATTCACATCATTCCACGCTACGATAATGACGGGCTCATTAAGCTGCCTGTGGGTCAAACGATGATCGCTATCGAGGATGGCGTCGCCATGCAGAGCAAGATCCAGGACAAGCTGTAGACATTGGGCGATAGCGTTGAGTGTAAGCCATACCAAGGTGTTCGTATGGCCTGACTTTGACGAACATCACTACTTTTTTGTGCCTCAAGAAATGAGGATAAGCAGGTGTTCATTAAGTCGATGCTGCTGCTTTACCTATCGACACGCATTGGCCCTCTCTTTGTAGCTATGGAATCAGTGTAAGCTTCATGGCGAAACAACTGTAGTCGTTGTCGTTGCTTCGTTCATTAGTATCTACCTGTCGTATGAATATCGTGCTAGCAGTTTTGGGCTCGTAGCATTCAGCGAGCGCTTCGTCGTAAGCGTCGATGTATCGGCCGTGATGGTAACTCACTTATGGTGTTGCAGCATTGGAACGATCTGACATTGACGTGGGTCCGAGTCTGTGATCGGTGTCGGAATTACGTGCATTGACAAAGCGTTGGTCAATGCAATACCGAAACAACGGATCTGGAAGGCGCATGTTGGCAAGCGTCTGGTAGAGACGTCATATCGACGGGTGTCGAGGCGCTCGTCCACAGAGGCTGCAGAAAGGCCAGGGTCATCCAGAATACTGAATGATGACCGCAGTTGGTGATGATGCAGTAGTTAATAGCAGCACCGCTGCAGGCTCGACAAAGTCGGTGCCGCCTCGATCGACGTGATCGTTCCCGCTTGAAGTCTGAGGGCAGGAGTTCTGCAACAACAAGGAGATCAAAGCCGAGCACAAATCTGCGTCTTAGCATGCCAGCGCTATTTCTTACCTGTCTGAGCGGAACGAGTTGGCGTTTGGACGTTCGTGACTGCTGCAGTGTTGCGAGATTATGGGAATCCCGGGCGGACACAATGCCGACGCCAATACAGATACGATAGCCTTTGGGTTCCACAGATTATTGAATTGAGATTCCAAGCCACACAATGCATGCGGCGCTCCCTACAGCTGAACAATCAACACGCTTGGCCAGCATTGTGATCGCATGTGCGTATCGTGTAAGGCGTGCGATCTCGCGCCGGTGCGTGTGGGGTACGTTAAACTCTACACTGGACGTGCAGTTCGAATCGGCCTTTACGTGACTCTGTCTAGATTTCACCCCTCTATGATTAACGATCGTGCCCTGAGGTTGAGTAGTGGCTCCAACGTCCTTTACACTTCTCCACAACCCCAAAAACATTCTGGTCTTCGTGAATTGCTGCTTCAGATGGGACAGTTCTACCAGACTGCTTAAGCTACCTGCGTGCGTTTCGTACTGCATGTATCCGCGAGGATGCCACTTACGTGCCTGTAGCAAGAAAATCAAACCGATGCTTCATCTTTTTACGGTGATGCAGTTAGCGTCACGACTCACGTACTTCAAATATCTCGATCACCATTGCGTCTTCTGATATCGCGACCCGTGATCGTGTCCTGATAATGCTCAAGTTACACGCTCCAGTCCTCGCGCTTTCTATATTGAACACCTCTGCTTTACCGTCTCACTAAAATCGATGACTTTGAGACGTAGAGTCCCATAATCGAGTTCTTACAAGCACGTCTATCACGCGCTTTCGCAGTTCAACACGCATAAACACGCCAGGTGTACCGCTCGATGTAGCGCAAACTCTTACCCGCCTTAGTTTTCGTTGCAGTGCAACGACTAATGGCGTATTTAAACTAAACCACAAAAACACTCTGAGCCGTGCTTAATGGTGGTAGCGCCGAGGAACTCTAGAGCTTCTGTCGATCACAAACAACGTCGTGGCAGAGTCTCTATCCGTGATCCACATTGATTCCGGGTGACGTACGTACGCCACTTTAACAAGCGCTGGCTTCTGATCAAGTTACTGGTGCTGTTACGCAGCGGGTCTTGAACTGACGCTGTGCAGAGTATCCCCAAAGTGATTTTGTTGGATGCTTAGTCGGCTGTCTTCGTCCCGTGCTGTGACACGGGAAACAAGGCGGCGGTTTGAATACCATTCTCGCGAACGCATTGGAAACTTTACGTGCGATCTTCTTGTGCTGGAATGAAATCTTTGAGCAGGCAAAACACGCAACAGCGAAGCTAGGGAGCAGTCGACCGTAGTCCTTCGTAAATGACTAGATTTGTGAGGTTCAAGTCATCGAAGCATTCGCAGGTCCGTGCGACGATACTTTTTAAAGGCTGTCGCTTTGCGTTGGGACTGCTTCAAGTAGGAGGTATGTAGGACTGAACAAATCAGGACTTGTGTTTACTCTACTGCTGCCTTCCACATATATCCACGAATGCGTTGGAACTGCTAATCGCCTTCGCGTGGTGTTGTTTGCGTCGAGAGCTGAAGCAACTTGTACATAGGTGACAATCTCTTCGTTGCGTACCTTAGCTTAGCTGGAATACTGCTGGCAAAATCTTTGTTAGGTGGTGGCGAGCAGCGTTAAATAGCACACGATAGCACGCACTCGACAATCAGGACGTTGAGCAAGCTGCCAAAGAAGATCCGCTACCAAGCGCAAGGCCATGGGCAAATTATGTTTGCGGCCTGCATTCAGACCCTCAACGACGACTGAGCGTACGAATTGTGCTCTCTAAAAAGAAGTTACAACCAACAGCGCTCGCGTGAGACACTTTGGTTTATTGTCTTCAAGCTTTCAGTTGCTTCTTCGTGTCATGGATGCTGCTGCTAATGCATGTCGTGTTGACTTTGATTACTACTCATGACTATCATGTCGGTTATTGTTTACAACTCCTTTACTTCTACGCGTCCTGCAGACTTCGTCCGAATGACTCGAATAAACTCGCTACTTTTGTGGACAGGGATACAAACCGTGAACGCTGCGACTTCAGCGTACTCTTGCGACACAAGCTCAGCTTCGAAATCAACACACGTTCGCTTGACCATAGCCACAAATGCGAAGACCGCCCGAACGTGTAGCAACTGCATTGGCATCTTTTCAACAATCTTGGCCTGTTTTATCACCTCTTGCGCAGCAGCTCCATACGCTCGAATGAGACCACCAGATCCTAGCTTGACGCCGCCAAAGATCCTCGTGACCACTACACAGACGTCCACAAGCTCAGCTCGCTGCAATGCGACCAGAATAGGCCGTCCAGCCGTGCCGTGTGGCTCTCCGTCGTCCGAGCACATCTCGCGTCCGTTCATCGTTCTGTAGGCGTAACAGTGGTGACCAGCAGCTGGGAACCTATGACGATGAGTCTCAATGACTTGTCTGGTCACCTTCGAAGCTGCATCGCCACGTCCTGACAACGGCCAGGCTGCTGAGATAAAACGGGAGCCTTCGCGCTTGGCAATCTCGTGCTGCACCGCATGGCTGATGGACTTCCAAGCAGCCATATTGGAGGACTTACGACGCGCTGCGACTTGACTGGCTATTCAGGACGCACCAAATAACCAGCTGTTCGATTTTTAGTGCCACAGCGACATGCCGCGGTCTCCTTTGGCTTCTAATGGCTGTATCGTCTAGCGAAGTCATTCGTTTGTCGTCAACTGTGATTTATACCGTACGCAAAGTAAATAGGAATTGCAGCGGGGTCGTCGATCCGACCAAAGTGGGAGGAGTGAGTGTCGCGGCGTGCGAACATTTCAGCACCAGGTTCCTTTAGGGTACGTCTACATTCATGCTCGAGAAAGTATGACGTGACGAAGGCGGCTGCTGTCGGTGGTTAATTAAATGCTGGGAGTGTTTTCACAATCAGAAAAGCGTCTATTGTCAAGGTCCTACGACCTTCTGTAATGTATCTACGACAGAAGACCAGCAGGCACTGTAACGGGGCACCCTGAAGCTTGTACTGGTGACAGTGCAAGCTACTTATTCTGATGACAGAATAAGGCGGTGCCTCGGAACTTCACGTGCACTCGTACGTGCAGAGGAAGACGGTAAGAAGAAGCGAGTACTTAGTTTAAGTAAAAAGTAGAACTGAATTTATCATAGTTAATGTCTGTCAACAAATCACTATTTATCCTCGTCTAACTATGTCTGAATACAAATGTGCAGATCAGTTATCTGCTCACCACTCATTGCGTGCGTCTGTCGTGGCGCGTCTTCGTTGGTTGATATAATGGCCTATATCAACCAATTAGGAACTACTCGTAAGTGCTACAGAATATTTGTCCTTTTGATAATATTCTGAGAATATAACTCTTATAGTTATATTCTATAAACAATTTCTTATAAATTGTTATGTAACGATTCACCCCGTTACATCACCCCCCCTTAACCATCAGTCACTTTACTGACTGATTGACTAAATGGATACTCGTCCCAAATCATTTGGGACGGGGTTTGCACTTGTTGGTCCGAGTCCACTTTCCAACATCTCATCGCATGGTTAACAAGCCCATGCGATGCGCGAGCAAGGCCGCCGAGAGCGCGTCTGCACGTCTCTGTGCGGACGCCGAAGCAGGAACCGCAGAAAAAAATGATGTCTCATCGGTTGCTGAAGCGACTCAGCCTGTGTCACCTGGTGATGCAGGCGCTGGTCATGAAGACACTCATGTCTTCACAGAGTATGAGCTCGGTGTCTCATACTCTCCTGATACGGAAGACGGATCCGTATCGACGGCGATCGAATCCAAGCCGCCTGCCGAGCGTGGCATGGATGATGCTATACGTCGCAGCATCTTTGGTTCATCTGATACCCAAGTTAGTCACTACATGCTTTGGTAGGTTAACCGCAGACAGTAGGACTAAGTCACCTTTATAAAATAAAAGAGTGTTTGCCCTTCCATTCTTGTCTGCGTTTTGCTTTTGCTTATCCACCGCTTCGGCAATGGAGTCTTGCACAAAACGGACTACCGTTTCACGAGCCAGTATGGACTCATCTGATGACTCGTTAGCTTCAGTGCGCTGTGAGTGCACTGCAGCAACATCAACCTTTTCTTCAGTGAGGGCTTCCGAACTCTCACTGGCATTATCTTCTTCGATATCGATAACATCGATATCGGCATCAAACGCAATGACCTCTTCGTCAGAGCGTGATGAGCGTGAACCAATTCGGTTTTTGCTCGCGCGAGTCTCTCCCCCCCTTAAACCAGAGTTACACTCTAGTTAGGTGGGTACACGCGGATGGCGCAAGCCATTCACGTAAAACGGTGTATGTGTCGTGGACGCATGCACCGAGTTGTTAATGGCAAACTCTACCATTGGCAAAAACTCACTCCAACCTTAAAGGAGTGTACGTATCCTCGAAGTATCTCTTCAAGGACACGATTGGCACGTTCCGTCTGACCATCTGACTCTGGATGATCAGATGTAGACATCTTCTAGCGCGTTCCGAGTGATTTGAACACGGAACGCCAGAAATCAGCAGTGAATCGTGGGTCTCTGTCTGATACGAGTTCACGGGGCAACCCATGAAGTCGGAAGATGGTGTCAATAAAGACACAAGCACAGCCACTTGCCGTGATTGTCTCTGGTATAGCCACAAGGTGTACCATTTTGCTGAATCTGTCAACAAATACGAGAATACCCGTATTCCCGCGTGCGTCTTTGGGTAACCCGAAGACGAAATCCATTGAGATGGATTCCCAGCACTCAGCCGGAACCGATAGAGGCTGTAAAGGTGCACGCAGTGAAGGACTTGACTTCACTCGTTGACAGACTTCGCATGCGCGAACATACTTTCGCACAAACTGATACTGGCGGGGCCAGCAAAAGTTTCGACTCACCGTGAGATATGTTTTCTCCCGGCCACGATGTCCTCCTATAGGAGAATCGTGATACTCGAACATGATTCGCAAACGCAGATCAGTATCATCTGGGATGACAACACGTGGATTGTCACCAGAAACGGCTGTATAATACAGTAAACTTTTGTGAGTAGTGTATCGATCTGATGCAGATCGATACGCAGACGATAATCGTTTCAACGATTCTCGAGATGGCTGTGAGAGATGTGTCAACAATTTCACAATCTCACCATCTTGGGCGTATGCCCGCCTCACATCATCATTCAACGTTGTAGATGGGACTGAGGACGTCATAACCGCAACAGTGACTGCCTCACTGCTGGGTTTCACGACTGGTTCAAAGTCGGGCAAACGTGAGAGTGCATCAGCGACGACATGAAGTCGTCCTGGTTTGTACTCTACCGTAAAGTTGTATTCTGCAAAGAATGACAACCACCGCGCCATTCGTTGTGGAAGGTGCGGGCTGTTCACTGCCGTGCGTAATGACGCGTGGTCAGTGTAAACAATGAAGGGTCTATCTCCTAATAGATAGACTCTGAACTTCGCGAGTGCATACTTCATGGCAAGGAGTTTCTTGTCATGCACTGGATAGTTCCGCTCAGCTGGTTGCAGCTGACGCGACTGATAGCAGACGACGCGTTCAACGCCTTCAAGGTCGTACTGCATTAATGCACAGCCGATTGCAAAATCGCTGGCATCACAGACCACATGAAATGGCCTGTCCTGATCGGCTATTGCTAGGACTGGGGATTGTATCAAGCTCTGCTTGATACCATCAAAGGAGCGCTGACATTCAGCGTTCCATATCCACCTCTCGTTCTTTTTCAACAAACGAGAGAGGTGTACAGTCATCTCGGCGTAATTGCGTGAATACTTATGCAAATACGCCGCTAGCCCAAGGAATTTTCGAAGACCTTTGACATCAACCGGCACAGGCCAGTCGGTGATCGCCTTGATCTTTTCGGGATCAGGACGTACACCGTTCTTACCAACGATGCACCCAAGAAGTGGTATTTCGCTTGCTGCAAATATACACTTCTTGAGGTTTGCATACAATTGATGCTTTCGCATGATTGTAAGAACCTGTCGGACGTGGTACCTGTGAACCTCAACGTCCGACTTTCCATCCATAGCTCGACTATGGATGAATACGTCATCGAAATAACTCGGCGCGAATTCTCGTACTGGTCTCAACAGATGTGATACACATCTGTTGAACGTGGCAGGATCATTACTACGCCCTTGTGGCATTACTAGCCATTCCCAGAGCATGCCGCTAGGCGTGCTAACTGCGGTATAGGGTACATCCCGTTCTCGCATAAGGATTTGATATAAGCCATCCATCAAATCCATGGACGAAAAGATGGTACCCTTTGACATACCATCAATGATTACGTCCTTCCTTGGTATCGGCATCTGAGCCGGTACCGTTGCAGCATTCAACTTGTTTAATGCATGCACTATCCACCCCCCCTCCTGTTGCTTTTCGCACACAGAAGGTCGGAGAGCTATGTGGGGATGTTGATTCCCTCAAATGGCCCGCAGCTAAACGATCGGCAAAGAACTTGTCGATCGCAAGTACTTGTTCACGAGGCAGTGGCCACTGCTTCATGACACAGTACTTCGAGCCTGGTTTAAGCTCGACCTCGTGTCGAATACCTTTATCCTTCGGTAATTCGCACGGAACAGTTTCAGGGAATACATCCTTGAATTCAACCAAATCTTCATAGAGAGGATTTGTCTTGAGCGATTCCCACGATTGGGAGTCATATCGCTCAATTCGTGTCTTTTCATCTAGGACACTCTCGTCCATAGATGAGCTACTGAGAACTCTCTCGTTCTCAGTAAACACTGTGGCTGACCTTATGTCGGCTACACACTCGTCGTCAGCGACGAGTACGCAGATCTGCTTGACTTTACCACTACGCGGATCACGCAAGAACCATTTATGTTCGAGCGTTGGCAACTGAGTGATCTTCGAAGTCGACTTCGGAGGCGCAATCAGATCAATTTTATAAGCGCCTACACTTGATCCGTTATTGACTATGACATTCAATGTCTCTGTCATTTCCTGGGGACATAATCCCTCAGGCCTCGAAGGACTTATTCCTTCGGCTTCCCGGGGACTTATTCCCGCGGGTTTCGGGGAACTTATTTCCGCCGTATCTGTAAAATCGGGACTTATTCCCTTAACTTCCTCTAGCTGGGGTTGCGCAACCACAGCGAGATCCTCTACGAAAGAATCTCCAGTCGATCTAGGATTATCGTTTCGCTTAACCTGAGCGATCGATTGTTTCTCTTCTAGATGTTCCCTGCTAGGGATACATCTTTGTCCCAGTCCACTCGACTTATTCGAGTGGTGGACCTTCGGCGCAGCCTGTGTTTCCTCACAGCCGCCGGAACTTTGCTCCGAAGTGTAACCGTTTGTTACACTAAGGTTTTGTGCAGTCGTACTAACGACCGTACCACAAGTGAGGCCATCGCACTCACTCGTAGTACATCCACACGCTTGTGGACGCTCCAAGACGTTCATCAGATGGCCATCTGATGAACAAGCGGCAGGCACCGTTACTGTACGATGTTGCCAGTTTACCCGTGGTTCGTACCTTCTGAGCCACGGTATTCCAAGGATGACATCAAATTTGTCATCCAAATCCAATACGATAAAGTCATCGTCATATTGGGTATCTTCTAGCGTATAGTGGATCTTCACTATACGCTTCATGACGGTTACGGATGCGCCTGTCGCAAGACGTACCGTCATCCTCGTAGGAGGTGTGTCACAATCACTGAACTTGAAGTGACCATCTTCTAGCGATTGGCGTCGCACAAAATTGTTGGACGCCCCACAATAGACTAGAGCTCGAAGGGACAACTTATTCGTCACTTCGAGTTTCAAGGTAATGAGTGAGTCCTCATTACCTAGAGCAGCAACGCACAACGTTTGTGTGTTGGGAGCAACTTTCATCAAGAGGCCTACAAATTCTCTTGACGTTGCTAGACCAGTAGGGTGCTCCGCACCTACTGATCCTGTCCGTTTTTTGACGGTCCATCCCGTTGTTGCGTCTTTGCACCAACTGCGGACCCTCGTCCCTGCCCCTTTCTCATGGGTGGACGGTCACTACGCCCAGTGTCGCGAGACACTGGACGAGGGGCACTACACTCGTAAGCGTAGTGTCCTGTCTTTTGACATCTGTTGCATCTCTGCAACTTCTTGTAGCCTGTAGAGCGAGCCTTCTCGCTCTCTACATAACAGAGTTCCATCGGCTCTGGACCTCCGCTGTCATATCGTCTCGGTTGACGATATGAGGTCGAGCTGGCGCGAGCCTGTCTCAGACTGAAGTCTTCCTGTTCCGCAATGGAAATGGCTTGTTCTAGTGAATCTAGTTCAAGTCGGAACAGGTGAGTCTTGACAGGACCATCCGCAAGACCCTGCATGAACAACGAAACCAACGTGTGTTCATCCACCGTATTGGAACTTATACAACTCGTGAGATGTCGAATATGCTGCGCGTAAGCGTGCACATCACGCTTACCCTGCTTGAGCTTCAAGAGTTCGGTTCGAGCTCTGAACTCAGCTCTAGGCGGTTCAAACGTTTGTCTGAGCCGCGACTTGAAGACTTCCAACGACCCAAACGCATATGGGTCGTGCAACTTGAGCTCCAAAGCCCAAGTCTTGGCACGTCCTGCCAGATTTGACTGGGCAAATGCAACTTGCATATCCCCATCGTCGATGCGACGCGCCCTTATGGCGTCATCCAATTCGACAAACCATCTCAGGAGGGAATCCTCTTCGACTCCCCTATACTTGGAGATGTCAATCTTCAAGGTTTCGGGTCGACGCGAGTGCATCGACTCACCAGCAGCAGCCTGCTGCTGTCTCAACAGTTCAAACTGTTGAGCACCCTGTTCTCTCAACAACTCTGCTTGTTGAGAACCTTGTTGGTGAAGCAAGGCTACTTTCTCGCGTTCTGCTTC